GACATCATATATACATATAGGCATCATATATACATATATACATATATGTACATACATATATACACATACACATATACATCATATATATCATATACATCATATACACATATACATACACATATGCATCATATATATTATATACACATATACATATATACACATATACACATATACATACATATATACATATATACATACACATACATATACATATTCTTATTCATTAGAGAATAAGATCTGAATGGGAAGGCAGGAGAGTTGAGGAAGAGAAAATGAATTTTGATGAAGAGGTCTGCTTGTCCTTTTCAGTCTGTGCCAAGACTTGGGATATGAAAGAGCAAGGGAGCGTTATATCCCACCGGCAGGGTGGAAGGTAATGCAAAACCTAAGCAATCAACATGATAACTTTATACAAAATTGTAGTGTGGCGTTACAAATAAAGACAAAGCAAGTCTAGTAAGAGGAATCAGCCCCCAGGGGTGTGGAGAGCCCAGGGAAATGGAGTGTTCTGCTAATAACCAGAGTCTGAGCATGTCTGCTTCCAGGACTGGATTTGTTTTAAACAAGGGCCTCAGACAGAAAACATTGACTAAAAGCTTACACTGTAGCCAGGCCTGTTCAAAGAGCATCACATTTAATACCCTTTAAATCCTTACAAAGGCAGACATTATTGTTTTTCTCATTTTAAAGAAGTCGGAACTAAAAAGGATGTGTGTGGTAAGCTGCCAAAGGTCACTGTTGACAGCCGAGCCTGCAGTGCTAAGCTTGTACTGTCCCTACAAAGCAAGCACTTGGGATGCAGTGTGATACAGATTTAGGATACAGGGAAGGCTCTGTTTTTCAAAACTATGGGTATTTCAGCACACAGAACTCTTTTTTTTTTTTAATTTTCTGAGTGTAAACACTGTTTGTCATCATATATCTGTAATCCCAGAGCTGGGGAGGACACGGCAGGTACTTCCCTGGAACTAACTGGCTAGCCACTTTAGTTGATTCAGAGAGGCCTAGGTTCAGTAAGAAATCTTGTCTCAAAAAATAAGGTAGAATGATTGATTGACAAAGTCACCTGACATTGGCTCTGGCCTCCACGTGCACACACATACACTTGCATCACACTCATAATCACGTGTACACACGCACAGACATGTACCACACACTCACACAACACCACTCCCAAGCACACACACAGACAAAGAATAGTTGCCTTTCTTTTTTTATTTAGCAGTTGTATGCACACAGGCTTTGCAGAGTAAGGAGAAATGCTAGCATAAGGTAGCTGGCTTTGATTATCGTAGGCTCAGCACTAGGTATAGAAAAACTTCGAGTCCGTAGTCATCCAGCCTGTTTCTAACTCTCAAGCTTTCTGAACAGGAAGAAAGAGAGTCACTTTCAGCAGAGAAGAAAGCTCTTATCAAACAGAGTTGAACAAGGTGGCGTTGGTTGGGAAGTTCCCTGTAGTCAGGAAGTAAGGAAAAGGAGACAAATCTGCCGTTAGTGCTGCCTACCAGCATAGCAGTTACAGAAACCAGGAGGCAGTCATAAGCAAAAGGAAAAGGATTACGTGGGAAGGAGTGGTGTCTCTGCGGGCAAGGCAGAGGCAGGTGGGAGCAGGCATCCGTGGGGCAAACAGACCCAGCCCTACAACAAAGGAGCACAGAGGGCTTCTGCAGAGCTGTAGTTCAGGTCCCAGTGGGAGCAGACAGACCCAGTCTTCGTGGTTTCATACAGTGTCGGGCTCACTTTTGGAACATTATCTTGATTTTGCAATCATGTTCTGTTTTCCGAGCTGTACAGAGCTCATCACTCTCACCTCATAAATGCAAAAACAGACACAGATAACAAATAGGTAGAAAAGACAGCTCCTGCGTATTTCTTTTTTTTTTCATTGCTGTTTTGTTGTTTTTTTTAAAATTATTTCTATTTTTTTATTGGATATTTTATTTACATTTCAGATGTAATCCCCCTTCCCCATTTCCCCCACCCACCCAGGAACCCCCATTCCATCCCCCCTCCTCCTGCTTCTATGAGGATATGCACCCACCTGCCCACCCCCACTCCCACCTCCCCACCCATGATTTCTCCCACACTGTGGCGTCCAGCCTTCACTGGACCAAGGATCTCCTCTCCCACCTATGCCCGACAAGGCCATCCTCCCCTACATATACAGCTGGAGCCATGGATGCTCCCTATGTGCTCCAGGCTGGTGGTTTAGACCCTGGGAGCTCTGGTTGGTTGGTGTTGTTGCTCTCCCCATGGGGCCACGGTTGCATATTTCTTCCTTTTACAGCTTTGGATGATTCAGTTGGTCAACCATTCGCTATCAGGAAACTCCCAATGAGAAGGATTCATTAAGGCTCATTCAGATTCTTTCTAGAGGAGGAGGACTACTGCTCCTTTATTTTCTTCTTTCCATTTTCTAACACAAACACCTTTTAAAAGAAAGTGGTGAAAAGAAACCCCTGGCGTCTAATGCTACAAATCTGGCATTTGATCATTTTCAGTTAATTACGGATGGCATTTGTTTAACATTTAGGCAATTCGAAAAGGAGTTATTGAGTCTGAGCAGCCACAGTAGCAAGCGATATTCTCGGCTCCTGGAACCATGAGTCAAGGTAAACAGAAATGCCTTGATTAGAAAAGGGCACCAGCACGGCCTTTGAAAGTTGTCCAGCTTGACTTATTACATCCTTGAGAAAGTGCCCAGTTTCAAGGTGAGGCAGTCAAGACAGGAAATACAGATGACTGCAGGGTTTCAGTTGTGTTTACAGACTGAAAGGCTAAATAAAGCTGGGAGGGAAGTTAGCTGTCATCCAAAGGAAACATAAGCAAAAGTTAGAAGCAAACCGTGACCTGAAGTTCTCTCTCGTCTTTCCTATCGTTCCTTTACTAGAGGTAGAAAAGTCTAAATAGTAAATGTGTTAACAGAATATTAACAGGCTGTCGATAAACACTGCAAAGAAATCTGAGATATCTACCAGGTATTAATCCTGGAGAAACCAAAATAAAAAGTACTTGCACTTGACCTTATTATGTTAAAAAAAAATTTATCCATCTATAGCCGCAAACGTTTTGAGAAGCCTGTATACTGTCACCCCACACTGAAAGCTATAGTGCAAGTTAAAACAGAGCTATCTGCAAATAAGGACAAATAAGCAAACCCCAGAAGACAGCTTTATTTTGCCTTTGCTCCCAGTTTTAATTTTCAAGGACCAATCTTAGTAATAGCATCGATGTTTGACAATCTAAAAAAAAAAGAGAAGAAGAAGAAGACGAAGATGAGGTCTTAGAAGAAAATTGGTGGAGCAAACTTTGAACATCCAGGTAGATGTGAGCCCATCCAGCTCAATTTTCCTATGGGCTCACTCCCAGAATCCTTTGCAATCAGCTTCGTTTGCAAAGGAAATGGTGCAAAGAACAGTTTGCAACAGCTCACTCTTCTCTTTCCGAAGCCTATGGCAGAGATGCCGCAAGCAGGGTTCCTTACCTCTGCCATACAGCTGAAGGAGCGAGACTTCCTTGTAAGCAAGTAATTCAGCTGTCATGGCTGATCTGCTTCAATTAGAGACAGCTAACTTTAATTTCCACATTCCGGTAGAAAGGGGCTGCCTGTTTACACTGAGCCAACAGACCATGGTCCTGACTCAGGCTGTCATCGCTTCTCTGCCATAAAGGGAACACCCAGAGAGTGATCCAAGATGAACAAAGGACTTTGTCTTACTGACCCCTAGCAGCATGGAGCAAGAGACCATTTCACAACAAAACATGTGCCAAATGCTGAACTGGGAAGGCACATTTATTTAGTAAGTGGGTGACTAAGTCGTTGGGCTCAGTGTTTAATGTCTGCATACACATTTCCCTGTACTTTTGGACATTTTGAGGTATTGCTGGACTAAACCTTGGGCAAACCAGAGGTACTTGGTGCCTTCCTTTCTTGGTTTATACACTGACTCATTTTTGTATACACATGACGTTTTCAGCCTCGCCAAACGCCATTGCTCAAATAGCATTACAAGGTAGCAGAAGACAGCTAGAGAATCAGAGATAGCTGTGTCATAGTGGAAAGGCAGCCAGACAGAACAAGATGGGCATTTCCCATCAGCATTGGGACTATTGACCTGGACAGTAAAGTCTTCCTTCTGGAGATGTGGAGCTTACCTGTGGTTCTAAAGGAGCATATGCAAATATAGCCAGTGTGAAGTCAAGGTGTTTGTGCTTTAGGCTCGCAAACCTAAGGATGCCAAACCCCTCATTCCCAAAGCTGATAACTGATGGTTATTTTGATATACATATGTGTATATGTACATATGTACAGATGTACATACATACATGCATACACACATATATACAAAGTTCTGGGTGTGAAAAGGAATTCAGGAATCTTCTATTCCCTATTGTCAGGAAACCCATCCCAAAAGAAAGGCCAACCAACCTTTTAGAGAGGCCAGAGCAACAGCAAGGGTCAGTGAAAGCACCTTTATCCACAAGCAAACTGCACACAAAGCTGTCTTTCTTCTCCAGCTGAAGTTCTGCAAAGAGGTGTACCACGTTCCCAGCTCTGCTCCCCAAAAGGAAAACAGTTTTTCATAGTATTCACTGCTCTATAACATCCCAATTTTCTGGGGGAAATGTCACTTGTGATTTTTTTTTTTTATAAACACAAGTCAAGGCCACACATACTATCTCCTCCATCCTGTGAGGACTTTCGTTTCTTGACATATTTGTATTGTTGTCAGAGATAAAGACAGACATTTTCGGTCTAATAAAGGTTCTATTAGGTCCCAAACCTTACCTCTGTCATTAAAACCAAACTAAAACTTCCTATGAAGTAACTCATTAAATTCAAAATGTTATGACAATTGGTCGGAATTCAATGTTTTTAAAGGCAAGGTGCATGTCACATTTTAGTTCTATGTGGTCAGGTATGAAATTCAATTCTTGAATTGTGTTATCTCGAGCTGGATCAAATGTATTTCCCAGGGAACTCTGTTCCCCTATGGGAGTGGGAGGGACCTTGGGAGGGGCCAAAAAAGGCGTACTATCATTCTAGGGGCTACGCAGGAAGGGCATCCTTTTTATTGGCCCAGTGGTTGGATCAACACCCTGTTGACCAGATAGAGAGGCCCGTTCTTTAAATATAACATGAAGCTAGTGGCTTAGATTCACTAGCCATCAGCATGTGCTTGGTTTTGTGTGCTGACTCACGATTATCTTAGTGATTCCTACTTACACCCAAAAGGGTGAGTTTCTCAGTTAGTTGGGTAGAGCAAACCTTGCAGGTTGGCTGTAGAACAGAGGACGTTCAGCCAGACTGAAATCCTGATCCTGAGCTCATTATTGCTGAGTTGTTGCCCATGAAAATAACTGTGCAGCGATTCCAACTTCAATTTGAGCCTCATCCTGGGATGGGTCCAACTCACCTACCAAGGGTACAGAAACAGAAAGAAGTGGATGGATGATCTGAAATCTGCTCTTTTTCCTAGGTGTGAAGCTCATTCCTGTCCAGCTTAAAGATTTGGACTCCAAACTCTCCTCCTGATGTCTCCTACTTCCCCCGTTTCATTCTGGCTTTAGAAGGAAACATACTAGTTCTCACGCATAGTGCAATCCTTGTGGGATTGCCAAACCAGAATTTGAGTTTAAGCATTGTCATATGTTGGCTTTGATCATCGGGTACATTTCAACCTCTTAGGGCCCCTGTTTATGCATTTGTGAAATTGCAGCGAATAGTGTGATATAGAGAAGAAAAATTATCTATAGCAACAGAGGAAATGGCTTTAAATACTGGCTCCTTAGCCTCTGTAGCCAGAAGAAAAAATAATATTTATTTTATATGAGGATTAAATCATGTCTTATGAGTTCATAATGGTTGAATGCAAAAGCATGAAAGTATCTAGGAAAAACATTCACTTTAATGGGGGTCCAAAAGCCTTTGATTTTTGGGAAATTGAGGTCTTCTATTCATGCTATCAATATGTTCTTTGAGCTGAAGAATTAGAATAGGTCAGAAAACATTTACCTGTCTTGCTCAGTGGAAGGGAATTCTATGGCAGCAGAACCCCAGGAAAACACACATCGACAGCATAAGGATACACCCTGTGTTCACTTCCATGACGTCATTCACGGTATGTACTGCAAAGTTACAATGAGCATCTTATGCAATTTGGCTTCCCCATTGGTCTCTGCACAGGCATCTAGCCTGACTCCCTGGGGCACACAAGCCACCTTGATAGAATCACCCAGGACAATCTCTTCTTAGTCCACCCACTACAGGCATCATTGAAATCATGGCAAACCTTCACCTGTGGTCTCAAGTTTTGATGGCCACTCTTCAGTGACTTGTCAGTGTTTAGTGAGAGGAAGGTTCCTGAAGATAGTTTTCTCTGCTTTCCCTGCTCCACAGGGAAGGTGATTATAAGCAAGCTACCATCTTGGAGACTTTGGGGGAGAGATGGGGTGTGCATATTAGTGACTTGTATTCAGATGCAGCTGTTCAGACTCTGTTAAGAAATGTTTCCCCCGAGTACCTAAATTACATGCAATTGTATTCTTTAAGCCGATGAGGGCATTTTGATATTTAGGGGTTGGGAAAATGAAGGTTGGAGGGACAACAGTATAGAGGGCTTAGCTCCTGGGGCAGATACTCCTAGAATAGGAACAGGGAAGAAAGAGGTTCAAGAAGGAATGGCTGTGCCAGATACTTCAATAAAGCAACACAAAGACTGAGGGCATAGATCTGGTTACACAGCAGAGCCCATTCGTCACTGTCCGGGTCAAGAGTTACTGGTGTGGACTTCTGAGAGAGGGAGAAGCCATGACACTTATCACAGACAACACTTGAGTGGTGCCATTCTCTGATTTATGTCGCACACACCTGATGTGGGACAGTTTTAGCATCCTCATGTCACAGACAGTGTGTTTGTGGGACGGAACTGCTGTAGTCTCTCTTCTGTTCTCATCCTTTAAGTGGGACAGATACTGGTCCCTGGACAATGCACGAAAATCTAATGTGAGACAGGAAGGATGATATTTCAGAGGCATAAGAGCACCCGCTGTTCTTGTAGACGACCTAAACTCAGTTCTTAGCACTCACAACAGGTGGCCCAAAACTACCTGTAAATTCAGCTGGTGGTGGTGGTGGGGGGTGCTTGGGTGCATATGCATATGTGCTCACGTGTGAGCATGCATGCACACTCACACATATAAACACATGCAAAATAAATAAATAAATAAATAAATAAATAAATAAATAAATATATAAGTAAAGCCAAGTCAAAATGGCTTCAAGATCTTTCCCAAACGAATTATTGTGGTAAATTCTATCCCCATCCACTTCCTGCCTGATTTGTCCTCATGGTAGCTATTACTTCTTCCCAGCTTGTACAAGTGACAGATCACAAAATTACTTAGGTATACATTGTAAGAATACGAGGGTCAAGGGAGTTGGTACAGCCACAGCTCAAAAAGATGCCTTAGCCAGGATATGCATCTTCAGCTGCCGCCACATTGGACTTTATGTATGAGAGGTTAAAGAGAGCAATCTAAGGGGCCATGCTTAGCATTCTCTCCCTTTCAACACGGGAGACCTACTTTAAAGAAACCTGGCAAACTGTATCTTTAGGCACTTGCCCAAGTGATGACGGTACTATTTAAAAGGATTTTCTCACTAGGAAAATTCTTTAATTCCCCAGAAAATACTATTAAGAGCTCTTGTGTTATAGAAAAAGAACCCATTTTCCTATTTAGACTGTATTTGTGGATGCCTATTTTTTCTAAGCCTCTGTATACTTCTCCCGGCTGAATTGATTTTTTTAGATTAGCCTTTCTAAATACAGTTCCTGGTGTTCTGTTTCATGGCATTGTAAGGCTGACTGCTACGGAGAAGTGGGTCCTGCCGTGTTGGAAGCCTGTTTATAATAGACAGATAAATCTGTTTTCAGCAAACTGGGCATCCCCCAGCAACCTTGGCATACCTGACTCTTAAACAATCTCTGTTTATTCCCCAAACAGAAAGCAGCCAAGTCGATCAGTGTGTTCTTCCAGCATTACAAGGGCACGCCCATGCATTTTCCCCCAACTTTTGCTTAGATTTTCTTTTTTTTTTTTTTCCTTTGAGCTGCTGTTGTAAGTTGAGTGTGTTTTGGGATGTTTCATCTCTTCTTTATTTAAGGGGTCAACTGAGCCAAGAGAGAGAAGGTCAACTTGCACAGCTCCGGGGGTTTCATTTCGGGAAATTCCAGGCCACGGTATGCTTGTCCACCTATCGAGACCCGGCCCGCTGTTGTTGCAGCTGTTGAGAAATACAGAGCTCATTTCTTTTCAATCAGCTGGAGCTTCCTGTATGTGCTGTGCAGATGCTTTTCCTACTGTTACTCAACTGAGATTTTTTTTTTTTTGCAAGATTTATCACGACAGCTTTGGCTTTACAGGGATGTGGAGTGTAGATCTCTAAGGTCCGATGACTCTAATATTCAGATGGAATGCTCACAGCAAATTCTGAGGTTCCAAAGGCCTCCTTTAGCCCTACCTCTTGGTAGGTAGCTTCCTGCAGAATGGGGCACCAGAGGAAAGATTTGAATGAACACATGCAAAGCTCCTTTCCTTGTATTCTGATTGTGTGAGAAGCTTTTATGAGACAGAAAGGGATTTCAGTCAGAACCCTGACATC